GCTTAATTTGAACATTTCTGTTGCACAAGTACTTAAACATTGTTTACGAGCTGCTCTGCGCCTATTTATATACTAAGTGACATATAAATCCGAACACCCAGTTTAAATGGTTTTATTTTAATAAAATTTTGTATAAGTACTTAATGAAGCATAATAAGTAAATGATAAAAATTTCAAAATGATTGCACTGCTTTAAAGCCCTTTGACCTTTAATGATGTGTGGATGCACCCTGATGTGCTACGCATTCTCCATCGCGCCTAGACATGCTTCTGATCAGGTGGTCAATGTCCTCCTGTGGTATCTCATTACAGGAAACCACCAACTCCTCTCGAAGTGCTTCTAGAGTCTGAGGAGGACGTTGCAAATTGAGCAATCTCCTACCCATCATATCCAACACGTGCTCAATTGGGGATAAGTCGGGAGATCTTGGTGGCCATGGTAACAATGTGCCATCATTATGTTGAAAGAAGTCTATTGTGACTCTTGCAACATGTGGTCGGGTATTATCTTGTTGGAAAGTTGGATCTGCCAGGGTGTCAAGATAGGGTAAAAGATGGGGTTCTAGAACTTCGTGGATATAACGCTGCGCGTTCATGTTACCTCTGATGGAGATTAAAGGTGATCTGGAACCATAAGCTATAGCACCCCAAACCATGACTCCAACAGTGTGATGAACATGTCTTTCAACAAAAAACTGTGGATTCCTCCTTTCACCACGTCGCCTTCTAACCCTGGCACGACCATCGTGCATGCCTAAACAAAATCGAGACTCGTCACTAAAGACAATACTGTTCCATTCCTGATCCCAGAGTGACCGTTGCCTGCACCACTCAAGGCGATTACGTCGGTGTTCTCGAGTTAAAGGGAGGACCCAGTGTGGCCGGTATGAAAACAAGCCAAAACTTCTCATTCATCGGTAAACACTTCGCATGCAAATAGGTCTTCCGTGTTCTGCAAACCATTCATTTGCAATGGACCTAGTAGTGGAGAAACGGTCCCTTAAGGCCAATAATCTTAGGCGGCGATCTTCACGGTCTGTTGTTCTACGGCGGCGTCCAGTGCCCCTTGCTCTTTGCGTACGGCCTTCTCGAAGCCATGCCTGACAACACCTAACCACAGTGTCTACACTTCTTTGCACTCTAACTGCAATTGCCCGAAAAGAAAGTCCAGCTTCCCGAAGTCCCACTTTACGGCCCCTATCAAACTCACTAAGTTGACGAAATCGTACAGGTCTCCGTACTCTAGGCATCGTCAAGAACCAAAATCCGCCAACGTTGATTCTTTACTGCGGTTGAAATATTCATTTTTAGAGCGTTAGTGAATTAAAAAAAAGCAGTATAAAAACTGGAATGTTTAACTGATAAGGCTGAAAAATTTTTCACTTGTTATTTACAGTAAGATAAATACATCACCAACTTTTATTAAAATAAAACCATTTAAACTGGGTGTTCGGATTTATATGTCACTTAGTATATTTAACTTTAGTTTAGACGAGAATCTAGCTTAATTTGAACATTTCTGTTGCACAAGTACTTAAACATTGTTTACGAGCTGTTCTGCGCCTGGATTTTCTGAAAAACCTCTTTTTGTTTATTCAAACGTACCCGAAAATCTCCTTCAAAAAGTTCGATCAAGTCAACAGTACTCCGCTGCAAAAAAAATTTTTCTGGGGTACCACAGGGATCGGTGTTAGGACCCGTGTTATTTTCATTGTATACCTCAGATGTGAAATCGTGCAGCGTACAATTTTTTGCCGACGATACTCGGATTTTCTATTCATTTTGGTCATGATGATATTTCAAACGATCATTTGGATAGTAATTTTCTAGAAAAATTTCTCAAAGACCAAAAGCAAAAGCTATTTCCAAGAAATTAGTAACTATGGCGTTTTTTAAGAAATTCAGCTTGTCCAGTTTTGCATATCCTGCCTGAACTGAAATTCTCCGATAATTTGTGTATCATCTATCACCTTAATTACATAAAAAAGTCCCTAGATTTCTTTAGGCTTACAAAACTCAAATTCAATGTTGGCGCAACAGACCATCTGATGAATATAATTAAACGGTCAACATTTTGACTAAATAACCAAACATGAGAAACATATACGATTATACAAAATATAAAAGTGGGACAAAGCAAGCAAAATGAAAAAAAAATATGTAACTAGCTTTTTACAAATTCTTCACCCCTTCAGCACCATGACTCTTTAAAGTTTTTTCACGATTATATTCAAATTTAACGCCCGAAATGCCTCAGTATACACAGCATCTTTCGCATATAACGACCAATGAAAAAAATTCATTTTTAGCAGCGTGGTCAGAGCATAGGCAACACTATGCTAGTTTTTCGCGATATACATAGCATATCTCATTCAAAAAACGTGCCATCTCGTATTGTGTAGGAGACTTGGTCTAACGAGCTGTCAAAATTGTTCTCATGACAAAGGTTTGATGATTTTTTTCTGTCAGACAAGACAATGTCTGATTAATAGACACTAGGTATCTCATTCATTTTTAAGTAAGCTACGAGATACTTGAAATATTTTAAGAGTCATTTTGCCACCTGATGAGCTGATGAACTGAGATTCAGGAAGATGATATACGCCATAATCATAAATAGCGGGTACCATCATGATATTAAATAGCATGTATGGCTTAAATTAACTATTTCTACCATACCTAAGCTAGCGACAGGCAGTACCAAATCCAAATTCCACTGGTGCAATCGTTAGAACAGATGTTTCATCCTCCGCACACACCAGTACCTACAACTATGTCATCGACACTAAAAGTACCACCTTGAACACCGATATGACGCACTACAACTTGCAGAAAAGCTTCGAACCGTCGACAGACATACGAAGTACGACCCGAAAAGGCGTTTAGATTAGAACCGCCGCCGAAATAGTGGTACCGAAATCAGCAGAATGGGCGGATGACGGGTGGTTCTCTCAATGGCAGTTCCGCGAAAGCCGCGAATAACGCGAGTAGGCCATGTTCGACTGAGGCGTGCTGGTGCTTGCGAGGGGAACCGACGTCGGCAGTACGATCAAGGTACCACCACGGCCGCGACTTTTGTCCGGCGGACACCTGCGTTGTGGAAGTGAGTACCGCCGGCGCAGTGACGTAACTGTGGTCAGGTATCAAGGTACGACTAGATGGTTCCACTTCGATTCGTTACTTCCCACGCCCACTGCGAGGAAGTATTGTAAATGCGAAACATCGAGATAACACGTTTTTTACATTATATGACATGTACCTTAGGTTGTCCAGCCTAAGGCCCGTATCGTCAGACATCCCTACAATTGTAGGGCGCGTTTATGGCCTCCTTGATTGTCATACTCCTTTCTGTCCTTCAAAAATTTCTAGATTATACTTGTCCCGTGTCAGCGTCAGAGCTCCCCTATTGTGAAGATATGTTTTCTTTTTAAATTGTAGGAAATTTCAGGCTGATAAAACATGATATAACTCAAAAGCAAGCACAATTTGATGCAAATAGATGTTTGTGGCATAACCTCAAAATAGAGCGCTGACACGGAGAAGTATAAAACTATGACAATCAAGGAGGCCATAAAGGCGCCCTACAATTGTAAGGACGACTGACGATACGGGCCTAAGATGGCAAACAAATTTTTGATTGAGATACGCATATCCTCTATTTTTTTCCATTTGACTCTAACGACTCAAAAAATAAATATTATTGCGATCGGGGAACGATAATCCCTGCCGACTTTCTGTCCAACTTTGAGTTTTAAAGTTAACAGGGAAACCATTTAAGGATTTCAAAACCTGATTCTTATTGAACAATTAAAACACCGCTTTATTTGTATCTTATATTTCTTAGATATTGTAGCGTCTTTCTGGGTTCTTTTGGGTATGAATTAAAACACTGGATTCCACAAAAAGAAATGATAAGTCATTTATATACACCACTATTTATGTCTGACTAATTCTTATGTCACCATTGACTGCACTATACTTCACTCCGCACTGCTACTCTACCGTATTTAGTACTCTCCGCCATCTGCCGGCCGCCGAGTTATATATATTCCCAGTTACCGCTTCGAGGAAGACCTCGTGTACCATAAAGCGACATCTAGAATGTTGGAGATCGCTTAGCGTCGATCTAGAAGGCGAGCCACTGTCACGGTCCTCACAGACGCCGCCAGACGGCTTGTGCGGTCGTGGTTCGCGTAAAAGCGGAGATCGGCCATTAAGCGCTGGCGAGTAGGAGATTCGCTCAACAGATGGCGCTATTTGTCACAATATTCACAACACATTTCCTAAGACGCGCCTTTGCTTCATTTATGGCTAGTTTGTTGTCCACACCAGGTCGACCTCGCTCTCTCTGGCGCTGCAGACCCTATCTTCATTTATTTTCTGTCTGTCGGTCTACGAGCTATGAATATAAAAGGTCCTGAGTCTCGCAAAGCTCGATTTAAAATACGAAAATAGTGTTTTCAGACAACAGAATGATCTTAAAATACACCAAAGACGGTAAAGCAGAATGTTTGTCCCATGTTTTGGAAGCCCCCTATACCATTTTGCGTTAAAACGTCGTACAAAGTGCGGGAATCGGCAACATACCAACACCTCAGCTGATACGTCATGAAAATGGGGTTAAGTTTCATACACGTCATAACACTTTATTTGACAGCTGTATGCCGCACGAATAATTTTCAAAATAACATAAGTCTTCTGACCCAAATTTGAAAGCTAAACATGATACAATTGTAAATGATTTCTGAACGGTTGTGCAGTAACCACACGTAAGAATTTTCAATATCTAAAAACTGCAAAGTTAGCATAAGCATATCAGTATATATTTGGCAAGATTATTGGAATAAAAATTTGATAACAAATGTTATCATTATCAAAGAAATAGCATATAAATGATAGATATATTTTGGGAGAGAACTAGTAATACAGAAGGTTACCAGATATCAAAGAAAAATAATGTCAGACTGCAAAAAAAAGAATAATGCTAACACTGGTATTCAGCCGTTCAGTACGTTAGGCAAGTCAACTTTACAATATTTTGGCGATTGGTGTGTTTTTTGCTTCAGCCTTTTGCACCAGCTAGGATAGGAAAATGAGCTTAGTTTGCATGTCGTACACATTTACTTTTTGGTATGATTTGTGTTTCCTTAACTATAGCCAATTTTATAATCATTTTCTATTACTTTTATCTAAATCTTCAGAAATCAAGGCTCAAAACCTGATTCGAGAAGCCACCGAAGTAAGGAGTTTTGCTTATTGCCCATATAGCAACTTTCAAGTTGGGGCTGCTCTATTGTGCACTGATGGAACAATTTATAAAGGATGCAATGTGGAGAACAACTCGTTCACTGTGGGAATTTGTGCAGAAAGGTATGTAAAATAACAAAACGTGATAATTGTCCTGGTCCTTTCGGGACTGAGTAAACTAGTCATTAACATATGGTGCAGTGACGAATGAGATAGACAATCAAGTAAGCAGAAGGATGTATAACTGGTTGCCTGGATGAAATGGTGGTTTAGAGCAATGTTCTTGATTAGTTACGAAAAACATTATAACAGATGCTGTTAGCAAATGATAATAGGAAACATACAGTGACAGTATTTTTGGATTTCAAAAGGGCATTTGAAACTATTGACAGAGATAAATTACTCACAAAATTTATTAAATATTTCTGTTGGTGTACTAGGTAGTAAACTAGGACCATTACTTTTTCGTTTTTCGCATTAATGACATGTGTCATTATTGTAAAATTTAGATATTTCCAGATGATACATTAATATACATATCAGATGAAAATATAGACACTACTTTAAAAATGCTGACTTGGCAAAAATCATAAAATGTATGCTAAAAGGAAAATGCCTAAATGAAAATACTATCACAGTTAGATAAATGGTGATATCTTGAAAATGTTGAATAAATAAAATATTTAGGTATATATGTATATTGATAGTAAACTTAAGCTTGAGGTTCACTATAGGATATGTACTAAGACTATGAGAAGCCTCATAGTCTTAGTACATGTCCCATAGTGAACCTAATATATATATATATAGTGTATTATACAACTATTCTACCGAATTGCCTATATTGTTCACTGCCAATGAAGCTGTATTGTCAAAATTACAAGTCCTGCAAAATAAAGCTACGAGAATAATATTGAATAACTATAAGTATACCAAAATAAAATCTAGGTTACAAGAATTGAAGTGGTTGAATATTTAAAATTTCATATACAGCAGACGCTCGATAATGTAAACTAATTTAATCCAAGTGTGGTTCACATTATCGAAAATATTTGATTTATTAAAAGAAACGTTTAATACATACTATTTATAACAAAATAAACAAATATTCTAACAGCGATAAGTATTTTTTTAATTAGAAGAAAAATAATTAACAATTTTTGTCTGCGTAAATTTGCGCTTAGCATTGTCTTCCAATGCCTGCGCCCGTAATTTACGAAGAACTAAAATATCCGTGTATGAAACTTCTTTTCTTTCACCCCAATCTAAAGCTTGGTTAAAAACTTGTATAGCTTGCGCGTCAGTCACTACACTTCTGACTTCAATGGGATCGTTCTCATCATCCTCACTGTCCATACCCTCCTCCTTATCAGCATCATTCGTCTGCTTATCTTCGTTCCATAAATTAATATCAGCAGGAGTACAAACAATGTTGGGATTCACTGTTTTCAATAAGCCAACAACATCCAATGACACACTAATAACATTATCATTATTGGATCGCAAACGTTCTCTAATTACGCTTCATTATTGGTACAAAAGAGATTGTACCAACATTTTTGAATAGTTTGCTGGTTAAGTTCATTCCAGGCCATATGTAAATCTAAAACAGCTTCTCGTAATGTTACTTTTTTTAAAGTCTCAGATAAGTTTTCAGGATTCTTTGATAAGACAGACGAACGTAGAAACTTCCTATAGTATAGTTTGGTGAGTCTATTATATTCTGGCCCATCGGTTGAATTAACGTTGGGCGGCATGTACATGACGAAAATTGATCCGTCCCTGCTCCTCAGTTGTTGCTCGGGAGGATGACTTGGTGCATTATCCAACAGTAACAATGCTTTTATTGGAAGCTTCTGTTGTTTTAGGAACCCTTTTACCTACAAATTGAAAACACATCTTCAAATTATGAATAGAGCATTTGTGATAATTGATTGTCATACCTGAGGGACAAAGCACCTGTGGAACCATTTCAGGAATATACTGCTAGTCATCCAAGCGGTTTTTGAACAGTATTAATCAACAGGGATATTGACATTTTTAAATGAGCGCGGATTTTTTGCTTTCCCAATTACCAGTGGCTTTATTTTGTGTGAACCATTAGCATTAGTGCAGGCTAGAAACGTTATTCGTTGTTTCTCCGGCTTTCTTCCCGGGGCAGATTTTTCAAATGATGCAGCATAGGTTTTCTCTGGTAACATTTTCCAATAAAGGCCACTTTCATCTGCGTTGTAAATTTGTTCCATTCTTAAATCTAGCTCGGTAATTGTTTTCATCAATTTTTCTTTGACTGGTTGCACTAATTATGGGTGTGCTGATAATTTTTCACCAGATATAGACAGCAGTCGAATTCCATATCTTGTTTTGAATCGTTGTAGCCAGCCTTCACTAGCTACGAAATTTTCAGTTTCTTTCAGTTTTTCATTTAACAGTGTCGCTCTCTGTTTAAGTACTTCGCCACTAACTGGGACATGGTTTTCCCGTTGTTTTAAAAACCACTAATACAGGGAATTTTCCATTTTAGGTGCCTTCTCATTTTTTTAAGTTTTTCTTTTTCCCGGACCTCCAAATGTATTGCACGTTCTTTGTAAAATTTGAGTTTTCATACGCTTAATTTTACAGATTGTTGCTTTCGATACTCCATATTTTTTTGCTAACTGTGTCACTCCCGCACCTAGTGCAACCAAGTCTATGATTTTCACTTTCTCACTCACCTTTAAACACTTTCTTTTATAGGATGTGGATGCCATAGTCGTAAAATATATTAACGCGTGCGATGTATTCACTTAAGTTCAAAAATGAAATACATACGTACGTATAAACGTATCCTAAACGATCATACGACTGACCGAGTTTGTCGTATTTTATCGCAGAGGTGAATCCCCTACACTCTACATCATAAATCGGGGACTCCCCGACGCCCGACATAAATCATCGAGGCTTCAGCATTTTACCGTCGCGCTGTTTCCGTGTGCCGAGAGTCGTTTACGTTATCGAGCGTACACATTGTTTACGTTATCGAGCGTTCCGTTTGATCCTATAGAACGAAGTTTGTGTTTACATTAGCGCAAGTTTTCATTATCCCGTGTTTACATTATCGAGCGTCTGCTGTATTTGGTTCGTATTTTTATATTTAAAATTAAAAATCACCCATTGAGGGTAATCAAATTAAAACAATACTAAATTGAAATTATTTAAATTACATTAACTACAAATTACAATTTAAATACATTATTATTAATCAAAGGTGTGTATTATTTACTAAACATATTCTGAACAGGTGAAAACAAAAGTGCATCCCACATTATCTGATTGTTAGAAAACGTGTATATCTCATAGCTACATCAGGGCTTTGTGAGCAACAGTTTTCACTGGTATGATAACGCCTTATGTGGTATTGTTGCGTAAAATAAATATCTTGGAACCCTTGATATAATTTGATACCCATGCTGGTTCAATCTGGCACTGATACCTGCAACTGATAATCTACCTGAAGATAGTGAAATATCCTAACGCCATCTATGAGACAGTAGAAGAAGACAAAAATGAATTTCGTTCTGTTAGTGTCCCACAGAAGGCGCCAGGATCATCAATCGCTTTTTGGTGCTTCTCTTAATACCCAGATATGATATAAAGAAGCTTTTCAACTTTTTATTCTTCCAGAACGGCTTATGTCAAAGCTATCAGTGAAGGCAAGCGCAAGTTCTCTGCTGTAGCAGTTGTTGCTTATCAAGAGGATTCTTTCACGACGCCCTGCGGAGCTTGCAGACAGTTCATGTCGGAATTTGGCGACGTCCCGGTCTACATAACCAAACCATCGTACAAAGATGTGCTAGTTAGTAGCGTTTCAGAGTTGTTACCGTATATGTTCACAACAAAGGATAACACTTTCAAGTAATCTGCCTTTAAGTTGTATATATTTTTTAAAGACATAATGTAGTCTAACTTATATACGGGTTATATGGGGTTTAAAGAAAAAATTATTTTATTCACTGTAATGTACAAATTTAAATAGATGATCCTATATATTACTAAAAGTTTACAGTATTCTGATAGAAAATCGTGCCCATTACTGTAAAATGTTACAAGTGCATGCCATCTTTATAGGTCTACTATAATTAATAAAAACCTCTTATAGCACCTATTTTATAAAAACTGGTAAAGCCCCATTATCTGATTGTTGTATATATATATATATAACTTGAGACGTAGTCATTGTCGTCTAGACCAGTTAGGTGAAAAATTAAAGCTTCCGCCTTTTGTTGGGTACTAAATTTAAGCAAAGAGGACTCTTTATACTTTTTTTAATTCTCTCTAGCTTTCAATGGACTTTGCCATCATCATCAGGAGCTGCAATTACAATGATAACAGTAGCAACAAAAGTGTAAAATGAATTTAAATTGAATCAACTTACAGTAGTATGTGAGGATGTTGCTAATTGTTGTTTTCGTATAGGATGAGGGAAACGTCCAGTAACATGGTGAGAGCTGGATACATGGTACAATGGTTAAAATTATATAAAATATGACAAGACAAGTTAAAGACAGATTAAAAATTATTTAGAAAACATTAGAGCATTACGTCTTTAACTTGTCTTGTCATATTTTATATAATTCTAACCATTGTACCATGTATCCAGCTCTCACCATATTACTGGACGTTTCCCTCATCCTATACGAAAACAACAATTAGCAACATCCTCACATACTACTGTAAGTTAATTCAATTTAAATTCATTTTACACTTTTGTTGCTACTGTTATCATTGTAATTGCAGCTCCTGATGATGATGGCAAAGTCCATTGAAAGCTAGAGAGAATTAAAAAAAGTATAAAGAGTCCTCTTTGCTTAAATTTTGTCGAAGTACCCAACAAAAGGCGGAAGCTTTAATTTTTCACCTATATATATATATATATATATATATATATATATATATATGTATAAATTTTTATTGTGGTTATGAGCATCTACTCATATTTTGTAGATTTGTGCCAAGTTGCATATAGTTTTTAATAATTTTATAATAATGCAACTTTAAAAATCCAAACATTATTTTATCAAATTGTTCGACAATTGAAATAAAACACTTTGTAAATATTGAATTTATTTATTATTTTGTTGGTGAATTCTGAATAAACTTAGTACAATATTGGTTGTTTTCTTGTATGGAACCTTGTCATATAAGTTCTGAATACAAGGATATTTGCAATTATGAAGAATCTATTAGAATATCACTTTCTAATGGTAATAAAATGTGTACTTAAAGAGTATATCAACAATGAGTTGATATTTTTTGTTTTAAAAAGTTGAAAGAGTACAAAATAATTCTTTGTAATTACAAAAACCCTTGTCTGGTGTCATATCCTACATAATGGTTGGTAATATTTAGAAGAATCAGAATAATAAATAAAAAAATATGTACAAGACAGTTATACTGTATATATGCATCATAATATGCTAGAAAATGAGTAAGGTCTGCAAAAGTATCAAATAAAACCTTCAAAAATTATCTCAAAATCTGCTATGTTGATTATAAATAACTTGGTTCATTTCATAAGCTAAAATTGTTAAAATCTATCAATATCAACAATTGATAACATACAATTCTTATCACAGCAGCTTGAACTGATTAATATAGAGCCAAAAATTATCTTTGTGGATAATAAAGTATCAAATATAATGGCACTAAAACAGTGATAACATTATCTGTAATTGAAATGTGCCAAAAAAGTGCTGTTCTAGTACATTACATTCATTAAAAAATTGTAATTAGTCTAAGAAATGGAATGAACAAATACCCTATCATTTGGGATAAACAAGTAAACTTGTGATACAGACATTGGTGCTGATATATAATATTTGGAGAAGAGAAAGCTTCTTGTCTGATTCAAATATATTGTGTATAAGGATATACTTTACGTTATAGATATAATTCCTTTACAAAAAGTAAATCAAACATTTTAAAAAGGTCAATGACAAAAATTAAAGTACATCTCAATGCCCTTCTTTTTTGACAATAATTACATAAGTACTGAAGGAATTGAGCAATCTACAATTAAGATCTATTTGCTTTCTTTTTGATATATTTTTTTTTTTCAGGTAAACAAGCCTCAAGCATATGGATCCCTTTGTCAAATGAAAAAGTACGATTTCTGTAATCATAATTATATGCCTTCATAGAGTATAATAATAGGCCTTTGAACACCTTCGAGGTTAAATATTCTTAGGCAACATTACATCTATCTCTGGTAGACCTCGTAGTCGTTGTCTGTGTCTCAGCAGCTTGTAACTGTCTTGCCAAAGCTGCATCCAATTCTTCTTGTTTCTTTTTGTCCATAGTAGTGTTGTTAACTTCCATGGAAAGAGCCAGCGCTTTCGCCAATGCCTCGTCTTCACTTATATCCCTTGAACCCTGTTTGAAATGCTGGCTTGTGCTTCAAAAATCCATCTTCTCCTCGCTCCTTTCCCTTCGCACGCATGATCCGTAGGGTGCCGATGCCTCAAGCAAAAGTTCATAGAGCACTCGTTACACACCACAGGTATAATTTCTTTCGTCTTGCAACGTCTGTAAGCACATTTATTGGTGAACACTTTTCTGCGGCTTTTCGCTGGGTCGGACTGGCAGTCTGTGTCGATGTGTGCCCCCACTACAAAGTCTGGATGAAGGCCTTTTCCTACCGGTATCGGTTTGTTACACAAGGGACATACCGGTACTTGGTTGTCCTTCTTGTAGGCGTTAGGGCAGTTGTGCGAGGTGTAATTGTAGTGTTCGTCGCAGAATAACAAGGTGCAAGCATCGCATTTGATTGGTAAAAAGTCCAGTTTGTTACAGTCTGTCTTCGAGCAGTGCTTACCTAAGTGTGGCAGCTCCATTTTTCGTTTTTAAGGCACTCACTAATGTTCACAATTGATGCTTGATGCGTAATGACACGATGCGGATGAAGATTTCGTTTATATTACGATGGTTTCCTGATCATGCCATTACTCAACGTTTAATCATTACACTTTGTTTTTATGTTGTAATGCAATGATAACACAAAAATTTGACATTTGCTGACATAAGTCAAAAATGATGTTCCAAATGTCAATCGCCTAGGCGTCTTCTCGTAATAAAGAACTTCCTTAACCAGTATAATCTAAATGACGTCATGGACTCATCTAAACTTGTTACTATGCCTAAAGAAATATTTATAATCACGCACTGTATTAGGGTGCTATGTGTTCTTACCAATTTTACTGTTATTTTATTAAATTACAAATATGAAATGGTAAAAGTGAAATGTGTTACTTCTTGAATAAGTTTTACTGTCAAAGATATTATACAGGGTGTCCGCAAAGTTGGGGTTTTCCTTTTCAGAAACAACTACCCTTGAAATAACAAAGGTAATGTGCAGTGAAACGAGGGCGACCAAGTAAAAAAAATAAAGGAAAAAGTACTCACTCTCCAGTTGACGAGAAGGGCTAAGTACGTCTCTGCCCGAAATCATACCGCTCCAACAGAAAATGAAATCAGCTGATGCGCTACCGAGCAGACGCAGGCAAACAAGGAAGGCAAAATGTTGTGTAAAAAGTCTAGGTATTGCATCCCGTCCAATCGATTTGGGAGAATAAATGGTCCAATGAGCATACCATTCACCATGCCAGCCCAAACATTCACCGAAAATGTTTGTTGAAAATGTGCCCGACGGACAGCGTGCGGATTTTCTACTGACCAAACATGAGTGTTGCGAAAGTTATTCACCCCATTACGCGTAAACGTAGATTCGTCTGTCACCAATATGCACTTCAAAAAGTCCGGATTATTGACATGTTGATGCAACAACCACTCACAAAACCGCACTCTTGCTGGAAAATCGTCAGGTTGAAGGGCTTGTACACGTTGGACTTGAAACGGATACAGCCCCTCTTCACGCAGCGTTTGCCACACTTTAGTTTTTGATACTTGCACTTCTCTAGCCACGTCTCTAGTGCTTGTTGAGGGATTCTCGTCTACGCGATTACCTCTTCACGCGTGACCGTAACCGTCGGTTGAAGATTGCATACTAACCTGACACACTGACCCCGACCCAGTTCTGTCGTCGGGTTGAGCTAGTGTTCTAGTACCACTCGGGGATGTCGCGGCTAAAGGACGGTATTCAGATATTTTGATGTTGCAGACCCCTTTATCTAGGTTCCCTTAAGACATTGGTGTATATGGTAATAAGAAAAATTGCTTATGTTTTCAAGATCTACACGTCGTGTAAAGGAAAACACCAACTTTGCGGACACCCTGTATATATTAAATTGCATGATTTAGAGATTTCAATAAGCAAGGGCACCTCTGATCTATCAAAATTAATACAGTTTATATTAACAAAAATAAACTATCCTCACAGATAATGCAACTTAATTTGACGTTGATCTAATATGAATATGCAAATTATTTTATTATAGACTAATTGGAACGTGGTTCAAGTCAAACCAATGGCTTTTGATTACTTTGTTCAAGTATTCATAAAATAATTAATAGATTTTTAGATGTTTTATTAAAGATTTATTGTATTCACAGTAGACAAATTCGGATAATTTGCGTTACCTTTAGAGGACTGGTTTCATATGAGTGTCATCACCTAGTATCAAGCCACCTTGGCTTAAGTCCAGATTTTATGACGTCACAGTCATAGCTGGTAGGAATTCCTTTCCACTGAAAATGGCTTCAACGTCATTTGTCAAATCAAATATCACTTGTCATCCGATGACATATTTTTGATGTTTTCGAAAATCTGATATTTTTCATTTGAATTTTCTTTGATATGGACAATGCCAAACAAAAAATGAGTAAAATATTTGAGCGCTGCTAACGCACTTTAAGCTAATATACAAATAATGGTATTGAACAATGTTTTCGTGTTAACCGTATCTACATCTAATCTGATGTGCAACATACAAGGGGTAAACTTTATTGTTTATGGTATTTATACACCACAATATTCATTATATATTTTCCAGCATGCTGTTTAAGTGACCTAGAACCACACCTTCATAAAGATGTTCTTCACCATTGAGGAACTAGTGAGATGGTTGGGTCTAACAATCTTCGAAATATGCATAAACCTCATATCACTTCTATTATTCACGATACTACTAGTGTTCCTGTATGACCCGAACGTGGAAACATCCAGCAACAACTGGTGGATGATTTTCCTCCCTCTCTTCGCTGGGGATGCACTCAATGCTTATTTCTGTGTGATTGTATACATCCGTTCCCTTTTGGAAATGACACTGAAATTTTCACTATTGAGGATCAGTTGGTCAGGCACATTTTTGCTTATGACCTTTTTGTTCAAATTTTTACTTTGTAAAAGACTGTTAGGCCAGGTTAGTTTAGATTATTCAGAGGTATTTGCCCCATTGTATATACTTTTACAGTTAATTGCTGTTAGGGCTTGTCAGCAAAGTTAATTTTATATTGTAAGAATAAATTATTTATGTTTAACACTGTATTATTTTCCATTTAAACTATTCCAACTCGAGAACAATACTTTTACTTTGTTTTCAAAAGTTTTCTATAACAAATCAGTGATGTGGAAATCTTAATGTTTGTATGGAAAAAATGATACTCCCCAGGAAAGTAATAAAAGTACAAATGTTACATCTGTGTTACATTGTGAAAATATCTTTCAAACTTGTAATACCAGTGCCATCTTATGGTTCATTCGTGAACATCTCGGTCAAAGTTACAGATATTGTTTCCTAGGTGGCGCCACGGCAATCCGTTGTAGATCGATTGTAGATTCATCAAAAATCGAACAGAAATTTAAAAAACGCGCGCAGTACGGTGATACTCGTCTACGAAATAATTTGCTCTGAACACAATGGAAATAGAACGATAAGCCAGTAAAGTAAGCAGTGCAAGTTTAAAAATGATATTTGGAACCAGCAAAGATCGGGCCCATCCGCTTACTATGCAATATATTCAATGGACAATATTAAAGGTTTGTGTATGTTCTGGCATTATTTCGATCAAAATCGCACAAATTTATGAAAAAATTATAAAAGTATTTATTCATTTATTCCATCATGTAATGTGAAAATATTAGACATTTTCCAACTAGCAGGTATATTTCTATACAGATTCCTGATCAAAACATTTGTTTCGAGGAGTATAAAGATTTTTCTGCGGAATCATTAAAAAAGTTGTACTTAAAATTGCTGAAATACAAACCATTCAATAATTTACTCTACAATAGTTGTTGAGCTATCCCTGTAGACGCCGTTATTATCTAGGATATGGCAACATCCAATCTGCCTAACGATAAGGATGACACGTTAAATCCTGATCTCTCCTTCTTCTCTATTTGCCATCTGTGAAAAATTGACAATTGGATTAGGTAAAAATGATGTAAAAAAACCTTTTGTCAAAATCATGTGGAAGTGGAATTCGATGTTCCACTGACAGCGAGTGATAAAAATTGATCAAATCATCAATACACAATCATTCCCATTGTTTCGTGTGTATTTCACAATAATGAGTGCTGAAAAATGGATGTGTTAGGTGCTATAAAAAATTTCAATACAGACTTAGGAGTAATTAGTGAAACATCATGGATTGGGAATTTGTTTATGTATTTACAAGAAACCTATGAGGTAACACAAAGAATGGTTTATTTGTTTTACTAATTGCTCCATTGGAAAGTGATCTTTGAACGTTCATTTTACGTTTACCTTTATTGTAATCCACATATTACGTCTATTTCACGTTCTATTATAATATTTTATATACGCACTATGTTTCAGGTGTTTTATGTATCACTGCTGGGATTAGTATTTGTTATAATCAGTATCACAGTTTTTTGTATAAGAAAATGCACAAAAAAAGGTAAAACACCAATTAAATACTATTTTTACACATAATCTGATTATATTCTACCATAGTATTCAATCAAAAAGAGGAAACAACACAAGACCAGATTACAAGGTTCCGAAAAAGAGATAAGGCCCTATTTTATGGCAGGAAAATGATACGAAAGGTGAAAAACATCTCGGGACAAGTGAGAAACTCAGGGCAAGGCAAAAAACGCAAATTGGTGATGAAGTTCGCTAGGAGAATCCTCCAACTGAAAAAAGACACGGATCAAGAGCAACTGAAAGTTCTTGAACCCCCGGCTGAGTATTTGCAAGAAGACATGCTCAATGATGAGCGTATGCCTCCAGATGCGTTGTATATGCTGCAGAGCATACGGGTATTCGGGCATTTTGAAAAACCGATTTTTTTGAAACTCTGCAAACACACAGAGATCATCAATGTACACTCTGGATCGTATTTGTTCAGGATAGGGGATCCTGATGAAAACGTTTATATTGTTCAAAGTGGAAAGCTGAATGTATTTATTACTAGTCAAGAAGGTACTACTACTTTGAAAATTGTTAAACCCGGAGAATCTGTCACATCTTTGCTCAGTTTCACGGATGTTCTGACTGTAAGTACTGTGATCGTTTTACTTTAAATTCTGAATAATGGTTTCTACTTTAATGAGGCAAAATTTAATTCTAAGTGACTGCTTGAAATCAAATTTTATTTATTTACTTATTTTTTATTTCCTATCGACAAAAAACATTGTATTGGAAGTCATACATTTTCAAATCTAAAAAAAACCTATATCAAACAGAAAAACAGTAAAATAATAAAAAGTAAGATATAATGACATGATGAATTAATTGATTCACTGGTAGAATATGTCTTACGTTTAATAATAGATAATAGATGTCCAGTGGGAAAGTTCACTTTTTGATTTATGAAAAAAATACAAACTGAATTAAAAAAAAAATTTAGTATGATTCCGTCCAAATGTTTGCCGTCCCTTCGGACACACTCTTCTAATCGCGCGCGCAAATTCTGAAACATTCTCTTGCAGGGTTCTGGAGTGAGAGTGAAAAATAATCGCATGGGGTGAGGTCGGGTAACCTAGGAGGACAGTCTCTACAATGTTCGATATAACTCTTTGAGGAAAAAGTGCTTTCACCATGTCCATCGATTCTCTGGATCTACAGGCAGTGGCCCTGTCCTGTTGAAACCACTCTTAAAGCAAGCCTTGATAGCAAAAGCACGTTTCGCTCCGGTCCAACATTCCATTGTGACTATTTAACCCGCACGCCAAACGCGTCGACCAAGACCTCGCCTCACTTCCTCGCGTATACGGTTGCTGCGTAATTCAAATTTGAAATGTGAACTTTCCCACATTTGATATTGATATTGATTGAATCAGTAGAAGTATTTTATTGTTATACTTTTAAAAGTAATGATGAGGCATATTTACAAAGTGTTTAGGTACACAGTATAAAATTATCTTTATTACATATTTAAAAATCCTTACTTTTCAATATTTAGGATATCCACGGACATTTATTAGGGTTGATTTGAGTTTCACTTATACATTTTTGTAAGGTTTTTCTTAATTCGCTATTGTATGCAATCATTATGGAAGTGTCTAGTTTGATATTATTTATGAAGGATTTGCCATTGTTAAATTTTATCTTAAACTTTCTTAAATGATAATCGATATTTTTTTCCAATCATTTAACTGAATTTCTATTAAATATTGTTCTATGTTTAACAGTACCTGACCAAATATTTGATACCAATTATACTATTGTTTTTTATTCAAGGTTGATAGACATACAACTACTTATAAAATCCAGCAGATATTCATCCATGGAACAGTCTAGAATATTTTGAGTCAACAATTTTATCACAAATTATATGCTGAATGATGGGAAAATGGTCATGGTGACATTTAAATTGATTTGGACTATGATAAAAATTTGTTATCTAATTATTATCTATTCCAATTGAAAGTTATTGTTTGTGAACAAAAGTTTCAATAGTATACTAAGTGACATATAAATCCGAACACCCAGTTTAAATGGTTTTATTTTAATAAAATTTTGTATAAGTACTTAATGAAGCATAATAAGTAAATGATAAAAATTTCAAAATGATTGCACTGCTTTAAAGCCCTTTGACCTTTAATAATGTGTGGATGCACCCTGATGTGCTACGCATTCTCCAACGCGCCTAGGCATGCTTCTGATCAGGTGGTCAGTGTCCTCCTGTGGTATCTACATTTCAGGCAATCACCAACTCCTCTCGAAGTGCTTCTCGAGTCTGAGGAGGACGTTGCAAATTGAGCAATCTCCTACCCATCATATCCCACACGTGCTCAATTGGGGATAAGTCGGGAGATCTTGGTGGCCATGGTTACAATGTGACATCATTATGTTGAAAGAAGTCTATTGTGACTCTTGCAACATGTGGTCGGGCATTATCTTGTTGGAAAGTTGGATCTGTCAGGGTGTCAAGATAGGGTAAAAAATGGGGTTCTAGAACTTCGTGGATATAACGCTGCGCGTTCATGTTACCTCTGATGAAGATTAAAGGTGACCTGGAACCATAAGCTATAGCACCCCAAACCATAACTCCAACAGTGTGATGAACATGTCTTTCAACAAAAAACTGCGGATTCCTCCTTTCACCACGTCGCCTTCTAACCCTGGCACGACCATCGTGCATGCCTAAACAAAATCGAGACTCGTCACTAAAGACATTACTGTTCCATTCCTGATCCCAGAGTGACCGTTGTCTGCACCACTCAAGGCGATTACGTCGGTGTTCTCGAGTTAAAGGGAGGACCCAGTGTGGCCGGTATGAAAGCAAGCCAAAACTTCTCATTCGTCGGTAAACACTTCGCATGCCAAAAGGTCTTCCGTGTTCTGCAAACCATTCATTTGCAATGGACCTGGTAGTGGAGAAACGGTCCCTTAAGGCCAATAATCTTAGGCGGCGATCTTCACGGTCTGTTGTTCTACGGCGGCGTCCAGTGCCCCTTGCTCTTTGCGTACGGCCTTCTCGAAGCCATGCCTGACAACACCTAACCACAGTGTCTACACTTCTTTGCACTCTAACTGCAATTGCCCGAAAAGAAAGTCCAGCTTCCCGAAGTCCCACTATACGGCCCCTATCAAACTCACTAAGTTGACGAAATCGTACAGGTCTCCGTACTCTAGGCATCGTAACCGATCGTAAAGGATGTCAAGAACCAAAATCCGCCAACGTTGATTCTTTACTGCGGCTGAAATATTCATTTTTATAGCGTTAGTGAATTAAAAAAAAGCAGTATAGAAACCGGAATGTCCAACTGATATTTTTTTCACTTGTTATTTACAGTAAGATAAATACATTCACCAACTTTTATTAAAATAAAACCATTTAAACTGGGTGTTCGGATTTATATGTCACTTAGTATATTTAGCAATTGCATGATTATAATAGACTCTTCATAATAGCTATATTCTGCAAAAATTTTTTTGTAAGAAACAAATTAACTGTTTCCTTATTTCGACAGTATAGGCAACTCCTTTTTCAAAATAACTTTCTGTTACTATTTAAAGCTGTATCTGGCTCTTACTTACCAATATGCTAGTTGATTTGGCTATTACAACATCTCCAAAATACTGCGATATTCTTGGCCTGCAAGGCAGTCCTATCAGGCTGCTGTTTGCTTCTAAGATGAAGATCCCTAGATAACTAATATTAGGAAATTGACGTTGATAAACTTTGAAAGCACCTTAACATTTCTTAAAATGATCGAAAATTATCTTAAACTTCAGGGTCAGACAAATCCCTACAAGACAGTGTCGGCAAAAGCCCTAGAAGATTCTACAGTGGTAAAGTTACCGATGATGGCATTTCAGGAAATTTTTGAAGAGTACCCTGATATTTTCATAAGGGTACTACAGGTTATTATGGTGAGGTTGCAAAGAGTGACTTTCACGGCTCTGCATCAGTACTTAGGCTTAAGCGCCGAACTTGTGAGACAGGTAAGAAGATCTTTGGGTACAGCAATTTCAGTGGTATTTACAGCCCTGGAAATAATAATCCTCCTGAGAGTTTTAATGCCAAATGGATATCAGATTCGGAAGCTATGCATCCGATTTACCTAGCAAGTGATTTTTTACAGATATCAAAGATGAACATTAAATTCAACACCCGTAATTATTTATTGAATTTTGATAAGTATGAATTCGTTTTCGAAAGGTATTTAGGTAAATATTCATATTTGTCTATATACTTTTGTTCATTACTGTATATCAGGATCCGAGCAATACGAACATGTTTACTTCGTCGATCACTTTTCACCTTATCTTCGTATTGTGTAACTAACGACGACCGTTTTCTAGCACCCCAAACCAAAAAATGTAATGGCAGGTTCTCCCCTAAAAAGAAAACGCGACGATGGTTCATCAGCTGAAACTCCTTTTGCTGCTACTTTACCGATTCCCGTACCTGGTCACCAAAGAAGGCATTCGATGTTGGACGGAAAATCTTTTTCACCTAGTTATAATACACCGCCGTCTGATGCGCCTGCTGATGCTGAAAATCTTAATGTTAGTATGAAGTTTGTGTATTATTGTACAGCGGGTACTTAAGTACAGGGTTGGTCCGGAAAGTAATAGGACTGGATTCGGTAGAGGGCGTTCCTAGCTAACGAATGAGCGGCTGGTCAGTTGTCTCCAAGCAGCATGCACCGCGGCTCTCAAGGCTATTGCGGAGAATGCCTTCCGTGACGCCTTCATTCCTTGGAAATCGCGCTGCATCGACGCAGAAGGAGCCTATTTTGAAAGTTTTTAAAGAATTGTAACGATTGGCTCAGTAAATTTTTTTAAATCGACTCAGTCCTATTACTTACCAGACAAACCCTGTATACTATTTCTACAATGCGACTTAACAACTGAATATATCAAAGAGACTGGGACATTGTTTTCAGACACCTCCCGATCTGCAGAAAAAAAGACATTCATTTCCTGGTCGGATCGAGGAAGATGACTTGATCGAGCTGGCCACAGAGGCATTTGCAAAAGAGTTGGGTCTTGAGGATATTTCTATTTTGGAGGACAGAGTCGAAATCCGAGAAGTTTCGGCCGGTACTTATCTGATGAAAGAAGATTCGAATAAGGTACATTCAACTTTTGGGATGTAGAATTTGTCGTGACGTCGTATACATAGTGGTTAAAAATGATATGGGGTTGTAGAAAACGGACGCAGGAAAGTAAACGCATATTAAAACAAGAAAGATTGATATTCAAATCAAGTTGGGTACTTTATTTTGAAGGTTCATTTATACCATTTATGTATGAAAAAAAATATCGTTCAAATGTTCACCACGACTGGATTTACAGACGTCCACGCGACGGTCGAAATTTTCAATGACATTTTGCAACACGGTCGGTTCTATGGCATTTATCTCGGCAATGATGTTGTTTTTGAGTTCTTGGAGGGTGGATGGTTTGTTGACGTAGACTTTGCTTTTCAAATATCCCCATAAAAAGAAGTCCAAGGGAGTCAAATCGCACGATCTTGGTGGCCATGGCACATTTCCTCTGCGCGAAATCACGCGATCACCGAAGAAGGACTGCAATCGGTGGATATTGACGTTGGTTGTGTGGCATGTTGCACCGTCTTGTTAGAAATAAACATCGTCCATATCCATTCCTTCAAGTTGCGGCAAAAAATAGTCCTCTATCATCACGTGATATCGCTCAGAATTGACGGTAACGGCGTCCCCGGCCGCATTTTCGAAAAAGTAAGGTCCGATAATGCCTTTTGACCACAATGCACACCACACAGTCACTTTTTGAGGATGCATCGGCTGCTCTTGATACTCACGGTGATTTTCGTTCGCCCAGATGCGGCAGTTTTGCTTGTTTACCGTCCCATTCAAAGTGAAATGCGCTTCGTCGCTGAACATGATTTTTGATGAAAAGTTAGCATCAATTTGGCGGTGTTCAAGGAGCCAATCTGAGAACGTTCGGCGCGAAAAATGGTCGGCCCGACGCAGCTCTTGCGTCAATTGGATCTTGTAGGCGTGCACGTTCAAATCCTTGTGGAGAATGCGGAGCAAACTGGTTCTCGAAATGCCCAATTCTTGGGATCGACGCGTTGTTGATTGTTTCGGATCGTCTCACACACTCTCCTTCACAACAGCAATATTTTCCGGTGTGCGAACGCTCCTTGGCCGGCCAGAGCCTGGCAGATTTGCCACAGAACCTGTTGCCTCGAATTTACGCACCAGACGACCGATGGTTGTTTCGTTTGGGCGGTTGTCGCGACCGAAATGTTCACGAAGCGCGCGAAACGTGTTTTTTATTTTTGCACCATTTGAATAACTTTAATGCGGTCTTCAATCGAATACGACTCCATAGCGATCAATGGTAAACATTCAACTAACAAAATGACATGTCGGTGACAGAAAACAAAGATGGTGTCTATGTCAAATTGACGTTTACTTTCCTGCGTCCCTATTGGACAACCCTTTATATTGCATGAGTGTGCTTTGCATTTCGACTAGAATAAGCTGGAATGGGATTTGTAGAACAGTTTGTTTTGAATTATACTTTTCACGAATAATAGGACATTGTGTTTTATGTATGTTGCAGTCAGCAATCTTCAGGAAGAATACTTAATCAATAATCAAATAAAACATTATCTATTTTGGAATAACGAAAATACATAAAATTACACCTCATATATTTCTTTGCATGGACACAGCATGTTTTATTTCACTTTTTAACACTGCTCATGTATCGTGCACATCTTTTTGAGTTGCAGCTTTTTCATACACTAAATTTTTTTTGCTACAGGCGAAGCAGCAAGTTGATAGCCTTTTTGTACTAGGCACCCTAAATCTAGAGTTTGACGAGAAAAAGGTTTCATTATAACATTTTTTGTGGTTCCTTAGCACATTGGTGTGGCCACTCATATTTTCATCGCTTCATAACATGAGTAGAATTTCTCTTTATTTATTTTTGGGTTGGGTTTCATACAACTTTTTCAGTTCTTGTATACTTCGGTGTTATTATTAACGGTAAAAATTGTTTTTTTTTTCGTTTATTTATCATATTATATGATCCAAATCGCAAAATACTTGACGATTTTGGAATTAGAGGTAATCAGATTAGTTTGTACTACTTTCAGAAGAAATTTGACTAAAATAATTTACTTAATAAGTAAATGGTTTTCTTCACTACGCCCATGGTTTGTTTATCATATTGTTGAAAATAGCTATTGGAGCGTTTTTTTGTGGTAAAAAGTTATTTCTTGAAGAAAGATAAGGAAATATCTCGTACTTATTTTAAATAGGAATTTAGTACATAGTTTGCGATTGCTTTGACCAAACTTTGTTGCTAAAATAACTTGTAACGCGTTATTACATAAATTAACCATGGTATATTCCACAGCAGAAAGAGTTGAAATTATCGAAATATTTTTCGGAAATAATCAGTGCGCTAATAGAACAACAGGAATATTTAATGAGCGACGAGAACAGTAACGTGCATCGAAAATATGTTCTAGAACTTGTAGCTAAATTTCGGGAAACTGGGTCGGTCGCCAATAAAAAACGCAATATTGAAAATCCCATAAGGAACGAAGCAATAGAAGTAGGGTTTTAGGGCAAGTTTATGTAGATCCTACGTTAAGTACCCGCAAATTGGAGACTGTGTGTGGTGTTAGTCGACGTACTGTCCAACGGATTCTAAAGGACAATAGATTTCATCCGTATAAAATTCACCTGGTACAAGAACTTAATGAAGACGATTTTGATCGGCGATTACAATTTTGCGAAGATATGAGTGAACGAATTATAAACGATGAACATTTTCTATTCAACACTTGCTTTTCCGACGAATGTTCCTTTTTCTTAAATGGCGTAGTAAATAACCAGTAAATCTTCAGAACTACTGAACTGAAGTACATTAATTTTATATCATTATAAAGGGAATTGAAAGACCTTTAAAATAAGGTATCACTCGACCCCCCTTTCCATTTAAGTTTTCAAAAAAAAACTAAGCTGCCAGTAAATGCGTCTGTTTCGTTTTCGATGTGCCACCCTGTATATTGGACTGTTTTATATTTGTTTTTAAAAACAGAGATCTGTTTCACGATGCTACAAAATAATCACATGATTAGGCATAAATAAGATCTTATTCCAGATACGTGTAACTTTAGTTTTGTACAGAAAAACGCTCCATATACTGTTAAAAAATGTTCAATAGTTTTCATTTAAATGTACGTAATTTACCGGAAATCAAAGTTAAAAAGATAATCACTAATTATTTAATCTCTTTCGACACAGTTAATCACAAATTATTATTAGAAGCATTGGAGAGAATTGGTTTCAGAGGAAACGCGTACTCACTGATCGAAAGTTATTTGTCAAATCGCCCACAATCTGTGCAGATATCAGGATCATTTAGTAAAGAAATGTATACTAAGTGTGGTGTCCCACAAGGAACTGTCTTAAGTCCGCTGTTATTCAATATATATTTAAATGATATTTTCCAAATTAATTGTGTTGGCAAAATAACTAGTTTTGCAGATGATACTGCAATATTATATAAAGGCACTGACTGGTCTGATCTGAAAAATGTAATTGAAAATGATTTTATCAAAATTATTCGGTGGTTTAACAGTAGAAAATTAAGCATTAACTACTCTAAAACACATTTTTTACCATTTGGATCTTATGCTAGACATCTGCCAAATTACACAAATTTCTCCTTCAATATTAATGATCAAAAAATGCAAATTAATAGAGTGCCCAACATAAAATACCTTGGAGTGGTCATGGATCCTCACTTACGATGGGACATCCATGTCAATTATATTTTACAGAAAGTTAGATTTGTATCCTACAAAATTAAATACCTTGGGAATATATTGACAGAAAAATATCTTCGAACATTATACCATGCACTGATTGGGCCTCATCTCACATATGGTATATTAGCATGAGGAGCTGCATGTTCCTCACATATCTATAATTTAGATGTTTTTCAAAAAAGTATTCTAAAAATGATATTTAAAAAACCGAAACTTTATCCCATTGAAAAATTATACGCAGATGTTCGAATGTATGATATAAGACAGCTTTATTTCTTACACAGTATCACTCACTACCATAAATTTGTAAACACCGACCAAAAAATTAAACGTAACCATTATACCAGGTACAAAATTCGTGGCACAGTAGTCCCTCAACCGCATAAATCTATAATGCAGCGATCATATCTCTATTTAGCGCCTAAATTTTATGAAATTATACCTAAAGACTTAAAAGATTTACGTTTCGGAAATTGTTTCAAAAGAAATTTAAAAAAGTGGCTACATTCTATATCTAGGACTGAAATTCATAAACTCATAAATACGAACATCAACTAAATACATAATCTACTGTAGCTAATTTTTTTCCTTTTTTATCATTTGCATTCTACAGTTTCAACTTAAATTTATTGGTCCATGTACAGGCGATGCCTTCTATTGGGCCTGTTTTGATTTTATATTTATTTACTCATATTGTTTGTTATCTTTGTACATTGAGTGAACAAATATTATTATTATTATTATTATTATTTTATTATATATTATATATATATTATTGAATGATTTTTTTGAGGATAAGGACTTATTCTAGAGTTAATTTAGAATATTTTGAACTGCAGGGTATCATATCATTGTTGCTTCTATTCGTAATTTTATTATATGCCTATATGGGAAAGTTTCGTTATTAAATATATTCTTGTTTATGACTGTGAAGGCACATGGATTCTTAGTAGTTTATAAAAATCTTTGTAATTGTATATTTCTTTTATAATTAATTTTAGCTAGATCTTTAATAATGTTCTATGCCTCGGCTTATGAATAAATAAAAAATTATCTATCTATCTATTCACGCTGCAGTGTATCGTTAACGAGCTACTTGCAATTTGAGTGTCCATATTGATGTCACGGGGACTGCAAAGACCCCGTTGCTAAATGCTGCTCTGTTCCAGGATGCTGCTTTGGCATATGTGATTTCCGGCGCTCTGGTCGTGTCGCAAAGAATGACTGAGAGCGAAGAAGAAGTCCACATGTTCACCGCCTATCATGGAGAAATCGTCGGTGGTTTGACGGTCTTGACCGGGGAGCCTAGTTTTTTTACAATCAGAGCGAAGCATTTCACTAGGCTGGCGTTGATTTCGAAAACCACCTTTTACGCGTAAGTTTGTGCATCAGAGATATCCTCAGGATGTCCTGAAAGTTGGGACTTTACAGAAGGTATAGGTCAGGCAATAATAAGCAAGATTTCCCAGTAACCATAAATCATCGCCTTCTGGTAGTCAGGTGTAAATATTTTGGTTTTTCTGATTCTTCCTCCGATATGATTCAGAACTTCATAGAAACCAAAAAAAAAAACTGATCTTCAAAGTCGAGGATAATGTGAACTTTTTTTGTTTGACAATTTTTGCTGTAAGATCTCTAAAAATAAAGTGGTGGTTTCCGTAAAAACACCCGGTATCTTCGAAACGGCTGAGCCGATTTTAACAAACTTGAGCTAGTTGAAAAGAGCTGTTCTTGGGCTACAAACGTTATAATATTTGAAGTTTCGTTAGTTCCACATGTGTCCGTCAGAGGGATTAATTTTTTTGAGTAAATTAAACCATTTCTGTCGAAATATCGAAAAAAGCCCTCTAGCGGCCACATGTGACACTAACAAAATTTCAAGTATTATAACATTTGTAGCCTAAGAATGGCCCTTTTCAACTATCCGGAATTTGTTAAAATCCGCTCAGCCGTTTAGAAGATACAGAACACAGAAAAAAACGCATATCCGGCACTTTCGCATTCCACTTAAAAATCTGCTAATTTTTTTTTTATTGTTTTTTTATATTTAGCCTGGACTATAGATCAGAAATGTTGGTTTGTTTATATTCGACTGATCTAATATATTTTTTTAGGATCATGAAAGAAGAACCCCGGGTGGTGCTTTACGTGGCGCATTTAGTCGTAAAGAGACTCTCTCCCTTTGTCAGACAAGTCGACTTTGCTCTTGACTGGATTTTCGTAGAATCCGGCAGAGCGATTTACCGACAAGACGACGAGAGCGACTCGACTTACATCGTGTTATCAGGCCGACTCAGATCTGTGATAACGCATAAAAATGGCAAGAAAGAGCTTGTTGGGGAGTACGGAAAAGGAGACTTGATTGGAGTGGTGAGGATTTTTTTAATCTTATATTATACTAAGTGACATTTAGCATGTAAATTGCTTCTAAGATTTTTTTAAGTGGGATCGTTAGTTTACGAGATATTCGTTTATCATAATGGCGGCACTATGATAATGCTAACTTACTCTTATCATGAGGAAGTGTTAACGTAGCGATATCTTAAAAAAATTACTGTCGCCCAAAATGTAGGATTTCCTTAAAGAAAATCTCCCTGTTCTAGGCCTTCAACCTTTTATTTTCCTAAAACAATTTACTGGTCTCTATGTCTGTCCTTCATCAGGTTTTGCGAAGGTTGTTTTGTCAGGATATGTACGTATAAGCTATGTACGGGGTCAATCTACCTGTCATAAAGATACATAATATACTAAGCGACATGTAAAATGCAACACCCAGAATTATTTATTGAATTTTGATGAAAACATATAATCAATCGAAGATGGGGATCCAAATCTGTGTCACATGCAAGTTACTGTCTTTCACGAGTGCGAATATTAGTGGGCTGAACACTTCCTGCATCTCGAAGTCTTGCACAAATGTCCTTCTGTCGACGACGTACGCGAACAAAAACAAAACAACACGCCCGATGCCCGATAACTAACCACTGTTACCGTTTGCGATCGATTGCCGGTTCGATAACAGTTATGAAAGGCCGACGCGCTGTTGTCATGTGTGTTTTGAATATTCCATTTAATGAAACTTACTTACAGACTACAAATTTTGGCTTAATGCCAGTTATTTGTTAATTACCCAATTTAAAAACGTTTTAGATTAGATTATAAACATTAGTAAGATTGTGGTGATTGGGGTCGAAAATCTATTGACTTTTGGACTATGGGTCATATGAACTTTTTGACTTGTTTTGACCCACCCTATTACCCATTTTCAATAATGAGTACCACGTTTACACCCTGTATTACTATTGCAATTTTGTAAATGAAAATCTATATTTCCTCTTGTATCTATAATAACTGTGGTAATGATCATTCAATTCTATGTAGTGTTCTAAATATTTTGTCAAAAGATGATTTTTTATTTTAAATATAAACATAACCAAATATGATATGAAATTTTTTATATTCAACCACTGCAATTCTTGTAACATAGGTTTTATTTTGGCGTACTTATTTTTATTCAATATTATTCTCATAGCTTTATTTCGCAAGACTTGTAATTTTGAGAATACAGTTGCATTGTAAATAATTTTAAAATATTTCAGGTGGAAATGGTTACGCAGACGAAACGTAGTACGACCGTGATAGCAGTACGTGATTCGGAATTGGCCAAATTGCCGGAGGGTCTTTTCAACGTGATCAAACTCAGATACCCGATAGTTGTAACTAGGCTTATTACTTTATTAGGACATAGGATATTAGGTGAGCAACTAAATTATGTTTTTATGCTTTTCAACAAACTGCTCTTCACTTAACTTTTAACAGGTTAAATTGGCAAGTGAGGTATGCATGCATCAGTTTGCAAGTATACGTGAGTGTCACAGTTGAAAATTGCAGGCTCTTAGAACATTTTATACAATGTGTGGTCATATTATACCATACAAGGGTGGTCCCAGAAATACGCGACCCAACGAAGAAAACACAAAATTTTTGTAAAAAAATGTATTTATTTTTCAACGTAATCTCTTTGAGCACTATATACTTTTCCTAGCGATGTTCAATAAGTTCTATACCCTTTTTATAATAAGAACTATCTTGCTCCTCAAAATAGCCATTAACTGCCGACATCACTTCTTCATCGATGGAAAATCTTTAACCACTGAGCCATTTTTCCAAGTTTGGAAACAGAAAATAATCCGAGGGGGTTAAATCTGGTGAATAGGGTGCATGAGGTAGCAATTCAAACTTTAATTCTTTAAATTTGGCCATTGCAATAACGGATTTGTGAGCAGTTGCGTTGTCTTGATGAAACAACACTTTCTTCTTAACAAAATGCGGCCGTTTTTGCTTGATTTCACCGCTAAATCGTTGCAATAAGTTCGCATAATACTTGCCGTTGATAGTTTTACCTTTTTCAAGATAGTCAATGAAAAATATCCCACGCGCATCCCAGCAAACCGACGCCGTAACCTTGCCTGCAGATGAAACGGTCTTCGCCTTCTTTCTAGCCGGTTGTCCCTTTTGAGTCCATTGTTTTGAAATGGTTATGAAACGGCGCAAAAATTCTGCTTTGTTGCTGTGAAACTTCGCTGAACACTCAATTGAAATAAAGGGTTGTCCAATAGGGACGCAGGAAACTAAACGTCAATTTGACATAGACGCCATCTTTGTTTTCTGTCGCCGACATGTCATTTTGTTAGTTGAATGTTTACCATTGATCGCTATGGAGTCGTATTCGATTGAAGACCGCATTAAAGTTATTCAAGAGCACTACAAAAATGGTGCAAAAATAAAAAACACGTTTCGCGCGCTTCGTGAACATTTCGGTCGCAACAACCGCCCAAACGAAACAACCATGGGTCGTCTGGTGCGCAAATTCGAGGCAACAGGTTCTGTGGCAAATCTGCCAGGCTCTGGCCGGCCAAGGAGCGTTCGCACACCGGAAAATATTGCTGTTGTGAAGGAGAGTGTGAGAGACGATCCGAAACAAACAACAACGCGTCGATCCCAAGAATTGGGCATTTCGAGAACCAGTTTGCTCCGCATTCTCCACAAGGATTTGAATGTACACGCCTACAAGATCCAATTGCCGCAAGAGCTGCGTCGGGCCGACCATTTTTCGCGCCGAACGTTCTCAGATTGGCTCCTTGAACACCGCCAAATTGATGCCAATTTTTCATCAAAAATCATGTTCAGCGACGAAGCGCATTTCACTTTGAATGGGACGGTAAACAAGCAAAACTGCCGCATCTGGGCGAACGAAAATCCCCGTGAGTATCAAGAGCAGCCGATGCATCCTCAAAAAGTGACTGTGTGGTATGCATTGCGGTCAAAAGGCATCATCGGACCTTACTTTTTCGAAAATGCGGCCGGGGACGCCGTTACCGTCAATTCTGAGCGATATCACGTGATGATAGAGGACTATTTTTTGCCGCAACTTGAAGGAATGGATATGGACGATGTTTATTTCCAACAAGACGGTGCAACATGCCACACAACCAACGTCAATATCCTCGATTGCAGTCCTTCTTCGGTGATCGCGTGATTTCGCGCAGAGGAAATGTGCCATGGCCACCAAGATCGTGCGATTTGACTCCCTTGGACTTCTTTTTATGGGGATATTTGAAAAGCAAAGTCTACGTCAAGAAACCAGCCACCCTCCGCGAACTCAAAAACAACATCATTGCCGAGATAAATGCCATAGAACCGACCATGTTGCAAAATGTCATTGAAAATTTCGACCATCGCATGGTCGTCTGTAAATCCAGTCGTGATGAACATTTGAGCGATATTATTTTTCATACATAAATGGTATAAATGAACCTTCAAAATAAAGTACCCAACTTGATTTGAATATCAATCTTTCTTGTTTTAATATGCGCAGACTCACTCAGAGTAGAATCCAGTTCAACTTTTATATTGGTTGGGCTGAGGCCTTTGAAATAAAAGTATTGTACCACATACCGATGACCAATTTTCTCCATTTTCACAAATTCACTGAAATCGTTCAGTATTGATGGCTGCCAAACAAATACTAAACAACGTGGCGTCTTCAAACTTGACACATGTGCTTTATAGGTTGCATACTTTCTAATACAATGATATTTTTCAAACAACTATCGCCATCTCTAGGTCAGGCCGGGTACTTCTGGGACCACCCTCGTATTTTGTAGCTCTTTAAGGCGGGGTATTCGATATTAGGAAAAATTTGACTTTAAAACTGTTTTTTAATACCAAACTAAATAGTGTAAACTCCAGTGGAGGGGCTCTGAAAGCTAATCAGCTACGGAATAACTAGAAAGATTTCCGCTTTTATAAAGTAGTTAAATTAAAAAAGCGAAAAAAAAATGACGTTTGGCCTTGACAGTACTTGATAACCCCGGAGTTTAAATTTACTGTCTGACCAGTCTTTCCAAATGGTGAACTGGTAGGCTGTTAAAGCAGACCGTTTTTGTACATTGAATCGCTCGTACAATGTTTTTGGTCACGACATACCGATATTTAAGGGGGGTATTTTAGAGCTATTTTTATGGACAAATCCATCCCCCTATAATGTCCTCGTCTACACTATGCATTTCTGTCAAAATTCCATGTTCCATAAATTTCACTGGACAACAAATTTTAGTTTTTTAATTGTATCTTGTGGGAAAAGTGCACTTCTTTGTTAATTTTGGGGCGCTGAATCCAAAAATGACAATGAAATAAAAAAATTAGTTGCGGTTTAGAAAAAAATCTTTTTATTTTTAAGGATATATTGAAAAAAGTAACAAGATTCATATACTTATATCGTTTCTGGAGCATCTCTACCAAGAGTCCAACAGTAGTCTGCATGGAAGGATTCCACTTTCCCTGGTACCTTTTTTCCATTGTTGAAATATCGTGATGAAAACGTTCGCCGTGCTCATCACTTACGGCTCCGCAATTGTCAGGAAAAAAGTCCAGGTGTGAGTGTAGGAAATGTATCTTAAGAGACACATTACAGCCCATCTTTTGATACGATGACAGCATATTTTTGACCAGGGTTTTATAGTTGTCAGCTTTTCTATTTCCCAAGAAATTAGTGACCACCAGACGGAAATCATTCCAAGCAGTTTTTTCAATACCTGTTAAAGTGTTTTCAAACTGTGTATCTTTCAAAATATTTCGAATCTGTGGCCCAACAAAAATACCTTCTTTAACCTTTGCCTCACTTAGTCTTGGAAATTTCTGACGCAGGTATTGAAAAGCTGACCCATCTCTATCTAATGCCTTGACAAAGTTTTTCATTAGGCCCAACTTGATATGCAGTGGTGGTAATAAAATTTTTTTCGAATCTACTAATGGCATATGCTGTACATTTTTTTGACCTGGCTCTAGGAATTGACGAACAGGCCAGTTTTGTCTGGTGTAATGAAGTGCCTTTGCCCGACTGTCCCATTCACACAAAAAACAGCAAGACTTTGTGTAGCCTAGCTGCAGCCCAAGTAAAAGTGCAACAACTTTCAAATCTCCACAAATATGCCATTGGTGCTCATCGTATTTTATGCATGTCAATAGGTACTTCATATTGTCATATGATTCTTTCATGTGAACTGCATACCCTACAGGAAGAGATGGTAAAATATTTCCAATATGCAATAACACTGCCTTTAAACTCAATGTTGAACTGTCTATAAACAATCTCCATTCTTCTGGGTTTTAGTTTATATTTAAAGCCGCCAGTAAGCCGTTAATGTTACTGCAGAAAACCAAGTTATTCTCCATATTGAAAAATGGTTCTAAGTCTTTGTGGCGTTTACGAAAAACACATACCGAAACATCGCCTTCTAACAAGTTCCACTGCTGCAGTCTTGATCCAAGTAACTCTGCCTTACATTTTGGAAGTTCTAAATCTCTTACAAGATCATTTAATTCTGACTGCGTTATTTTGTGCGGTTGGTGGCATGACGTGCTCGGTATAAAATCAGGATCTCTTGACGTTGATGGCATATCTTCTTCCTGACGAATCACTCGATCGCCATGATCTGATTCGTTTTCTGATTCGCAAGTGTAGGATTCTGGGGGTTTTGGAATAGGATTTTCGTCACTGTGAGGCACAGGTCTCATCGCAGATGTTTGGGTAGTTAATAACCGATTTTTTTTTCTTGGACATACCTGTGGCTGAATCTTAATTTTGTGTCAATTTCCACTCCTAGTGCCTTAGCTGTATGCTGTACTGTTATGCCATCAATAGTCAGATGGAAAGAATCTTCGACAGTTTTCCTCTTCTGATCAGAACAAAACAATAACACTTGTGTCTTATCTGGATTAATAGCAAGATTATGTTCCATAGAAAACTGATGTACCTTATCTAAATCAAGCTGTAAAATGTCTGATGATTTTGCGTATAAATGAAATATTATTTGGGTATCGTCAGCAAATGTTTGTATATCGGTATGTCGTGACCAAACACATTGTATTTTTTTTAATATAACATGTGTATGGAATATTTCTTTTTCGTAGGAACATACAAAAAAGGGACACTAAGTGCGAGCTCGCCGAGTCCTACGGCACTAGACAGCAGACCTTCACAAATCAACTTTTCCACTATAGCTGTAGTAGCGGCATCTGACGACGTACCTCTTACAGCTTTTACCTACGAGCTGTATCATAGTTTAAGTGCCATTGGTATGTGTTATTATTTTTATCAACAAAAAGAGAAAATAGAAACGACTATAGATAGTAACTTGATTACACAGCCCAATTACATTATTACTCCTTTTTTTCTTTCATTTTGTTGGGCCGTGTTATTTTTGATGTCTTTTTTCTTCGGTTAAGGATTATTTATCTCAAAAACTGAAAATGATATTTTATAACGAGTGATTTTTAAGAGGTATAGGATTTGATTTCCAAAAAAAAAACACAAAAAATCGTAAAAACGATTAAATCTTTATTTGAGTCGATAGAACGGTCGATATAATTTGATGTTTAAAGATTATTTCGTGTAAATGTTGGCCGCGGCTTCGCTTTAGATGGCCCATGCGCAAGGTCCAATTTTGGCACACTCTCTCCAACATATCGGCCGGTATCTCACGAATAAATGCTTCAATATTGGCTTCCAGTGCGTCAATCGTTGCTGGTTTATTCCTGTAGACATTAGCCTTAACATGGCCCCACAAGAAGTAGTCCAACGGCGTTAAATCACACGATCTAGGGCCCCAAACGTGAGATAAGCTGGTCACTGAACTCGCCTCTCAATAGGGCCATTGTTTCATGTGCGGTGTGGCATGTGGCACCGCCTTGTTGAAACCACATGTCAGCCAAGTCCAGCTCTTCCATTTTGGGCAAAAAAAAGTTTGTTACCATCGCGCTCGCCATTCACATTTACGTTCCGGCCATTGTCGTCTTTGAAGAAGTACGGCCCGATGATGCCACCGGCCCATAATCCACACCAAACAGTGATTTTTTCGGGATGCATTGGTAGCTCTTGCAATGCTTCTGGCTGGTCTTCACTCCAGATGCGGCAATTTTGCTTGTTAACGTACCCATTCAACCAGAAATGAGCTTCGTCGCTGAACACAATTTTTCGATAAAAATGTGGATCTTCCTCCAACTTTGCCAGCGCCCAATTCACCAGATTGGAAACGTTGAGGGAGGTCGTGTGGCTTCAATTCTTGCACCAGCTGTATCTTATAAGGTTTTTCACGGTCATCACTAACACTGGCGGATACAGCCGCAATATTTTCTTCAGTCCTTACTCTACGTTTGCGTGTTGGTGGTTTAATGTCCAATAATGTAAACTGGGTTCGAAATTTAGTCACAAGCTTTCGAATAGCTCCCTCAGTAGGCCGACCAAATTGCCCATAAATTGGAAGCGGTGCTCGATGCACTCTCTTAACCGAGCATGAATTTTGATAGTAACATTCAATAATTTGTTCGTAAGTCGATTCATGGTTAAATTATAGACCAAACTGAACAAGTTTGACAATGACACAAGACACGATTCACGCGTCATCTGTCAAAAACAGTGTTGCCAAAAAGATACTAGCAAAAAAATCACCCATTAAATACTGCTCCGAAATTTCGAATGTTGGGGTACAAATGGTACTATAAAAGTCTTGTATTACAGGTTTATTTATTGACTTCGTTCAAAGTAATTTCCGCTACATTCAGTGCACTTATCCATCCGCCAAAACCAGTCCTTAAACCAGCTCTGATAAGTTTTACCCGGGAGTGTGACACATTCGTTGTCTGAAGTCCTCAGAATGTCCTCATCGCTAGAAAACCGTTTTCGTTTTAGCTTAATTTTCACATGTGGAAGCAGGTAAAAGTCGCAGCGAACAAGATCTGGACTGTAAGGAGGGTGATCAATAAGTTTTAGTCCAAATCAAAATAAGAGTGAGATTTTGTCTAAAAGTGTGCTTAATTTTTGGAGCAAGAATATTAACCCTGATCAGAGGCGGCTCGTGGCAAGATAAAATAGGTGTTCTGCAAATCCGAACTTACCTATTTTTTTGTATGTCAGTTCGATCCTGCGCTCCTTCTTGGCAGTAAATTTGTCGATCACCTTCCCGTTGAAATTTTCCATGGTCGAAATAAATTCCTTTTCAATGGACAGCATCGACAACGCTGTAAGGCGATCCTGGGTCAAAGTATTTCGAAGAATGGTCTTGATTCTTTTCAACGTTGAGAATTTTCGCTCAGCCTCTGATGTTGACATCGGAGTTGTAACAATAATTTCTAATAGCTTTTTTGTTTCTTTTAGTGTTTCTTCCAAACTATTTTGTATCAAAAATTTCAAAAGAGACAGAGTTCCATGTAAATCTCGGCAATCATTCCGTGCTTAAATAACAGACAACTCTGTCTTTAAACGACTTTTTCTAATTAGGGATAAGTGAAGCAGGTAGTTTCCAACTTGTCATCAGGAAACCTACCACAGTATTCTCCAAAGTGTTCGGGGAAAAAAAGGGATGCGGCTACCAAATGATCTTTGAATTGAAATCTGTCATTTGCAGAATTCACTATATTGTCGCATACTTCTAATGCGGGAACTCGGTGATCGTGACTGCTATTATTACGTCGTCTCCTTTTGTTGCCTTGAGGTTCAGTACAAATACTTTTGGTTTCATTTATTATGTCGTCAATTTTATTTCTCACATCGACAATACCTTTTTCAAAATTATCGATAGCCGTTTTAACTTGCGCTGGCTCGGTTTTTCTCTTCTACAACTGGTTGAACAAGATGTCAACGTGAGGCATGACATGATGAAAAAATGTCAACCAAAACACGAAAACAGAATCGTTTAACACATTCTTCTATTTCTTCCATGCATTCAGTGAGTGATTCTCTGTTCTCAAACACTAGATTTATTGTTCGAATATTAAAATTCCAACGAGTTTTTGCTCCTTGGGGAATTTTTCCCCACAATTCTGTTCAGTACCTCTACGCGTTGAGAATTATTAAAAAATCCCGGAATATCTTTCAAATCCCCTAAGAACATCCGAACTTGAGTATTTGGAGAAGCAGCTTGGGACATAATCAGGTTTAACTGATGCGCAAAGCAATGCACTTAGCGAGCAAGTGGATATCTTTGTTTAATTTTTGCCTGTACTCCAGCATTATGTCCGCTCATTACCGCGGCTCCATCATAGCTTGTGAAATCAGTTTGTTAGTGAAATTTCCTATTACTGGATCTACGACGCTCAAAATATGTCTTGTGAGAGTATCAGCGTCACATTTTTCGGGATTCATATAATTCCAAAAACGTTCTACTGGTTCGCCGTTAAATACGTATCTGAAAATTGTTACCAGTCGGGTTTTCCCCGAAATGTCCGTTGTTTCGTCTGCTATTATCGCCAAATAAGAGGCTCTATTAACCTGTTTCATTATTTCATGACAAACTTCAAGAATACAATCCAGTAGATCGTTTTGTATTTCTTTCGAGGTTCCTTTAAATATTGAAGCATTTTTTATGTGTTCGCTTAAGGTTGTATCAAGCTTAGCAGAAAAATTAATCAGAGTCCACGAAAAATTGCCGGGTTTTTGGAGCTCTCGGTTTCGTTGTGGCCCCGTAGCGCCAATTCAAATGCTCCTCAAAATTTTATACCGAGCACCAACCGACCAATCAGATATCGTCTGCAGAACTTAAGGGCCAGCCGCCCCTGCTGCCAATACGAATGAACAAGTAAATCAATAGACGTGTTGCTGGCGGCTACTATGCACTCATGGACATGCCTTAACATACAGTAACATGCAGCCTCTTGCGTCCGTTTGTCAAGTCATATTGCAAAACTTTTATAAGTGCCTGTAACTAATGCATGTAAAGATAAATGAATATTTTTTTCTCATTTAGGTCTTCCGGGCTGTTCAGCTGGGGTACGGTAGGATATTCTCCAGCGCTTTCAGCTTCAATTTCAGCGGCGCTGTCGTCGAGACTGGAACTTTTTCAGCTCTGGAGAAAATCCAACCCGACGCCGGCTCAACAGCCCGAAAAACCTAAATGAGATTAGAATTAGATGTGAAAGCCTTTTTTTATAGGACAAACTTTAAGACTGACATCAGAAGTAGTTCGTAAGACACTAGGAACAACAATAATCGATCCGAACAATGAATACCGTCTTTCGTCGTGGTTGGCACAACAGGAGGATCAACATAAGATATCTCTCTACCAGTGCGATTTGACAGTTACCGCTTGGACTCTGCGATGCATAAGGTAGCCGTCATTGACTTCTATTTACTAAATAATTTTGTAAAATGTTTAATACTGATCCTTTAAAACCATAGTGATGCAATTTCATTAACAATTTTTCCCTATCTGTTCTCTCAAATGCCCTTTTGAAGTGTTACAATACATTTCATCTATACTTCTTCTTCAGTCTTGTAGAAGATTTGTTTCTAAATCCATTGAACGAAAGAACGAACGTCTCATTTTTTATTACTGTCCTAATCCAAATTGTAACAAGCGGTTTTTCTGTGGACTAAAAATTCAGTTACTTTTTGATATAGTAGAAAACGTGTCCCGAATTTTTTTCTAGGCAAGCGGATTGTATCCTGATAGTAGGTTTAGGCGACAACCATCCCAGTTTAGGCAAAGTGGAAAAGGAGATAGAACGATTGGCGATAAGGACGCAGAAAGAATTAGTTCTGCTGCACAGGGAAGGTGGCAAGCCTGAAAACACGATCGGCTGGTTGAACATGCGTACGTGGGTGTCGTCGCATCACCACATCTTGTGTCCCAATAGACTGTTCAGCAGGAAAAGTTTGTATAGGATTGTGAGTAACACTTCTTTATGTTACGTCGTATTCTGTCTTTACCGAAATTTGAGGGAGTTCCAAAGCATTAGTTTTGGAAAAGAAATGACGGCCAATACGATACGAAATTGTCTCATTTATAGGAAGATGCACAACTTGGGGATGAAACAATTTTCAGGAACCATAAAAAACGTGTTTTTTATGTGTTTGTAATAATTTTTATCATCTCTTTTCATAAAAATATTCGTAGCATTCAAAAATGTATCCATATAGTGTTATACCTGTTACGTACAGGGTGGCGCATCGAAAACGAAACAGACGCATTTACTGGCAGCTCAGTTTTTTTTTTGGAAAAACGCTCGATTTTGTTTACGAGGGGGACACAAGTTTGGCAAAAAGTCACATTAGCACGTGCAGTCCCCTAAGCGGAGGTGACACCAACCCCAAAATCTTAAATGGAAAGGGGGGTCGAGTGATACCTTATTTTAAAGGTCTTTCAATTCCCTTTATAATGATGTAAAATACATGAGCTTCAGTTCAGTAGTTTTGAAGATTTATTGATTTAAAGCTTAAAGTAGACTTTAATAGGTACAGGTTTAATAGGCAGTTTTTATTACTTTCAGAAGAAATTTGACTAAAAGAATTTACTTAATAAGTAAATGCTTTTATTCACTACGCCCATGGTTTGTTTATTATTTTTGTGACAAAAAAGTTATTTCTTGAAGAAAGATAAGGAAATATCTTACTTACTTTACTTATTTTAAATAGGAATTTAGTACATAGTTTGCGATTGATTTGACCAACATTGAAAATCCCATAACGAAGCAATAGAAGTGGGGGTTTTAGGGCAAGTTTATGTAGATCCTACGTTAAGTACCCGCAAATTGGAGACTGTGTGTGGTGTTAGCTGACGTACTGTCCAACGGATTCTAAAGGCCCATAGTTTTCATCCGTATAAAATTCACCTGGTACAAGAACTTAATGAAGACGATTTTGATCGACGATTACAATTTTGTGAAGATATGAGTGAACGATGAACATTTTCTATTCAACACTTGCTTTTCCGACGAGTGTTCCTTTTTCTTAAATGGCGTAGTAAATCGTCATAACTGCCGATGTTGGTCCGATTCTAATCCCAGAATGTATCATGAGGTTCATACACAGCAGCCAAAAAAATTAAATGTTTGGGCTGGTATTTTTGGCGATCATTTAGTTGGTCCTTTTTTCTTACCTGGAAATTTGACCGGTGAAATATAACTCACATTATCAACCTCTGTTTCAAATCCTCAGTAATTCCTCGCCAATTTAAAGAGAGCATAGTGACACCAATATTTAAATCTGGAAGTAAAGACAATATGTTCAATTATAGACCTATTTCAGTTATCAATGTATTTGGGAAGATTTTTGAGAAGTGTTTAAATAACAGACTTTGTTCTTTTCTTGAAAAATATGACATAATATCGAACTGTCAATTTGGGTTCTGCAAAAATTGCAATACAGAGCAATCTCTACAAGAACTTACAGGACAAGTGCTTGAAAATTTTCAAGATGGAAATAAGACTGTTGCAGTTTTTCTAGATCTTCAAAAGGCGTTCGATTCAGTATCTCATACAATTTTATTAAAGAAACTAGAAAGTGTTGGAGTGCGTAGCGGAGTTCTGAACTTATTTGAGAACTATTTGGCTGATCGATTACAACAAGTTAAGGTAGGGTCAGATTTAAGCAACATTCAAAAGATCAAAATAGGTGTGCCTCGGGGGACGGTTTTGGGACCAACACTGTTCCTCATATACATAAATGAACTACTTCGATGTAATTTCAACTGTAAGATGATATCATATGCAGACGATACTGTTTTAGTTTGCACTGGTCATTCATGGGATGACGCAATACGGAATGCCGAATTGGCATTAAATAAAGTCAAATGCTGGTTGGATAACAATTTACTTAAACTTAATATCTCTAAAACTCAGTATGTAACGTTTTCTCCAACCAAAGCAGGCATGCCATTACACCACCGAACATTAATTATAAATGATAGTGCTGACACTGTCGAAAGAGTTGAAGTTATTAGATACTTAGGAATCACCATTGACAGTAATTTAAAATGGCAGAGTCATGTCGAGCTTTTGGCATCGAAATTAAGGAGAATTATTCATAAGTTTTTCATTCTTAGGAATATTTTAACCAGAAAGAGTCTTCTCTCAATATATAACTCGTTTGTGGGGTCTCTACTAACTTACGGGATAAGTATTTGAGGAGCCGCATACACTAGTAAAAATACTACAAACCACGCAAAATTATATTGTCAGGATTATTTTTCGTATCCCATGTACGTCAAGTTGCAGATTTGTTTACATTGAAAATGATCTTTTGAATGTTAGAGGTTTATATATTTTTGCTGCTCTAAAATTTGTTCACTCCCGAAACAATGTTCCAACCAGCCACGCTTATGAAACAAGAACTAAAATAAATATAAGTTACACCTATACCAGAGCGAATAAATCTGTTTGCCAAAAATGCATAAAGTTTGATGGTATTAGGTTGTATAATAAATTACCCCTAGAATATAAAATCTTCTCGAAGTATAGTTTCAAAAAAAGAATTAAGAAGTTCATCTTAAATAACTTTGACATGCTTGCATCGACGGTAGCTTGACTCAACTCAGTAATATCGTTTCTATCTTATGTTTTTTTTATTTCTTTTTTTTTATATACAGTTGCTCATAATATACCTTATAACCATTAGCCATGCATTGAATTTGTATATTGTATGACACACAGAAGCTTATAGCTTAGGTGTCTATTCTTTTGTAGTAAATTCTTTTATAGTAAATTGTAGTACTCTTGTTTCTCTGTTTAACCTTTACGCAAAATTTTTATTGTTTAAACAACATAGTTTGACCTTACTCGAAATATCCCTATATTATCATATTTCAGATATTCATATTTTATGTACTCTATATTTATACTTCTGAGTGTTTTTAGTATGCTTCTGTGCTATTGTTATGAATTTTAGATTTGTTTATGCAGACACGTAATTTAGGATTTGTGACGACAAGATTCAGACATTTACCCTTTACGAAAGTATACAGAATTTTCACAATTCATATACCGTTACTTGCTGGTTCTAGATCTGATGCTAGTATCTTTGCTCAGATTTCTGTTGCAATCTTGGTTATTCAGGGTAGCAAGAGTATACAAGCTCATGTATTTTTAAGGCTTTTTTCAATTAAATTGTACTGAAGGTTGTTTTTTAATTTGTAAGTTATATTGGTTTTTGAATTTGAATTAAAATAAATACATAAATAAAAAAAAATTACTGGAAGACGCCATAGATCCCGCATTAACAGCCATAATTGAAAATCAGAATGATCGGCGGTACATTGCGAATAGGTTGATGTTACAACAGGATGGTGGCCCACCACATTACGCATTACGTGTTCGACAATATTTAGATCAGACGTTTCCAGATCGATGGATTAGTGGAAGAGGTGCTATTGAATGGCCCCCAAGATCGCCAGATTTATTACCTTTGGATTTCTTTATGTAGGGTCATTTAAAAAGCAAAATCTATGCTAGTCAGCCAACATCATTAGAAGACCTGCGACAAAGAATTGTGAATGAGTGCCTTCAAATTACTCCCCAAATATTGCAAAATGAGCGGCAACGTTTTGAGCAAAATCTTTATTATTGCATGGAGAGTCATGGTGGCCATTTTCAACATTTACTTGCCTAACGGGTCAGTTCATTCTTCATTTTTAAATTACCTTCCTGCCAAATGTATTGATCTCCACTAATGATGATGTATTAGTTTTATTTAAGCTTTAAATCAATAAAGCATCCCACAAACCGGCGCGAAATATTCGCTTTGGCTGCGAAAATTTCGCGGCGATGAATTCGCGATCAGATTAAAACGCGGCGGTTTACGGACAGGCTCAGACTTGTGCGAAGCGAATGCGATTGTTCCAGAGTTTTTATCGCGGCGTATTTCAGTTCGCCTTTGACCGCATTTTTGACGCCGTTCTTCAAAAATTCGCAATGGCAAAAACGGAATTATTGACAGAAATAGTGAAAAAGTATCCTTGTTTGTATGATTTGTCGAACGATGAATACAGGAATGTGAGAAAGAAAGACAAGATTTGGATGGAAATAGGAAAAGAATTAAATACAAATGGTATGTACCTAATATTTTTTATTAACTTGTTAAATAATTTACAGTCTACACAAATGTCAAAACGAACATTCTATATATTGGGCATAGGCATATCAGAATTAAAATAATTTACGAATTTGTCACGAGTAGAAAGTGCTAGCCTTGCTGCCCGCCGAGGATCATTTGCTATATCAGTAAAAGCTCCAAGCACGGGTTCTGGGGGATCTAAGAATTGAAAATATTTGTCATCGCCACTTTTACTTCGTAAAAAAATGTGTAAAACACATGCCGTACGTACAATTAGAATAGTAGTATCTACTTTAGTTTCTAATGGCCTGTAAAATATGCGCCATTTTTGAGACAAAATACCAAACGCATTTTCCACGACCCTTCTAGCTCGACAAAGTCTTACATTGTATTTCTCTTTTCTGACGTCTGTTAAAGTCTGCTTATAAGGAAATGGTCTCATAAGGAATGGTTTTAAAGCAAATGCTTCATCACCAATTAAGACGTACGAGCAGATTTCATTTTACCCAGGGAGAAATCTAGGTGCAGGGACACTCATTAAATTTTGTTCAAATCGTTTTCCCATGTTTGAGGTTTCGAAAATACCCCCATTACTATTTTTTCCGAAACCACCAATATCAACACATATAAATTTATAGTCCGGGCCAACAATGGCCATAAGTACTATTGAATCGTTATGTAAATAGCACCAGTAATTGGAGCCACTGTTGTTAGGTCTCTTGATTGTTACATGTTTACCGTCCACGCTGCCAATGCAATTGGGAAATCCCCATCTATTTTCAAATTCTTCAGCACATTTTTTCCATATATTCTCTGTTGGTTCTGGTAAATATATATGC